TACCTTTTGGTTAGCACCTAAGCACCAACCACTGCACCACCAGGCATGTGACTAGACAATGCAAATTCATGATTCTACAGAGATAACAACTCAGGGACTTGGTGCAGCCCTTCCCTATCCAGCGGTCGATTAGCTTCTGTGCCAGGCTGAACATGGCCCAAGCACATCTGCATCAAACTCACGGCAGCTTTGAATATTCCTTACATAGCAAGTGTTACTAAATGAAGGATCTCCACAGGACGAGCTTGGCCCAGGTCCTGTGAGTAGGCCCTAAATGCCACCTGTGATAGTTGGGGTTGTGTGTCAACTTGGCTGGACCATAATTCTGAGTGTTTAAGCTGCTGTGATGTGGTTATTCTCGTGATGGGATCAGATGACTATGTTTTGAGCAGCCAATCTGTTGAAAGGGAGTTTCCCTAGGGTGTGGCCTGCTTCCAATATATCTGTGGACATCCTGGGAAAAAGAGACACCCTTCTGTGGATTGGGATCCTGTTGTGCTGCATACAACTGTCTGTGAGCGAACAGTCCACCATTCGGGCTGCAGATCTTGAGCTCCTCAGTCCCTGCAGTTGTGCGAGTCGGGAAAAGCCTCCAGCTTGACGTTTGGTCCGAGAACTTGGGACTTAACCGCTTCTGTAAGTGTGTGAGCCATTTTCCTAAGATAAATTTCTCTCTCTCTCTCTCTATATATATATAAACTTCACTGGTTTTGCTTCTCTAGAGAACCCAGCCTCACACACCACCACTCGGAAGGGAGGCAGAGGCAGTTCTGACAGACACACAGGGGGAGGCAGTGTGACCACAGGGGCAGACATGGGAGTGACAGCCACAAGCCCAGGGACACCTACGACCACCAGCAGCTGGAAGAGGCACGGAAAGGATGCTCCTCTAGGGCAGTAGGCGGAGCGGGGCCCTGCCGACACCATGACTTTGGACTTCCTGGCCTTCAGGATGGGGAGAGAAGCATTTCTGTTGTTTTAAGCCACCAAGTCTGTGGCAATTCGTTACAGCATCCTCAGGAAACTAATACACAAAGGTGAGTAAGTTGGCTCCCCGTCATGCTGTGTTCTCAAAGAGATAGCCATCAGTCACGGGGCTGCACGTCACAGCCAAGTCTTGGGGTGGAGAAACGCTTCTAGTTTCTCTTACATCCAGCCTGAGGCACATACAAGAGGAAGGAAAGCTGCATTGGCCCTTTCTGGCGTGTTTGAAAGTTGACTTTAACACTTTAATGACCCATGGGACATATCTTGCCCACCAATATCTCCAGCTTCTCAGCTTTCTTGGAAAACTGCTATCCCAGATGGAGTGTGTGCTGCCCCCTAGTGGAGGCCTGTATCACACAAGAAATGGGCCTTGCCCCAGCAATCCTATCAGCAGAGTCCACTTGGCACATGTGTCCCACATAATTGTATCAAAGTCCTTATTACCTCAAAAACGTTTCTCCCCTTGATTTTAGAATCGACTCCATGGCAGTGGGTTTGCTGTTTGGGTTTTCACTTACTGAAAACACATGCTATCAACAAAAAATTCAAGGCAGAAACTAATTCAGTTATGAAAGGGTTAAATAGGAACCAAGACGAGATAGAGGACAGTGAGAGAGAAACACAGTGACAGGGACCTGCGCTCCCCATATTAGGAGGGCTGGCTCTGGACTGGCGTGCGAGGGTTTCGTCTGTGTGTTACAGTTTCGGTTGCAGAGTGGAGGATGTGGTTTCTGGTTTTCTTTTCACGAAGATACAGGTGGAAGTGGCCACTGTTTTCTGAACTGTTCCTGACCAGAAGGTGCTGACACTCTCCCTTAGCCACTCCGTCCCCTGGGGGTGGCTGCTCATCTGCTGTGACCCAGCTCTGGGATCATCACAGCACACAAGCATGCAGGTGTTTGCCTGGGAACGCCCTTGTCCTTCCTGTCTACCTGCAGCTGGCGAACCGTGCTAACAGTGAAACCAGTGCCAGACGGAAACCTGCCAGAGAAGGAAAATGAAAGTATTTCCCCTTAATAGAAAGTGACAGAAAAGTGGTTAAGACCACAGCTGTCAAAGGCAGACCACATAGGTCTGGTCCAGTCCCGGCCCTCACAGGTGTCACTGCACCACTGGAAGGCATTGGCTGCCATGTTTGATTTAGATCAGCCTTTGGGCAAGCTGCTTGTATTTTTTTTTTTTTTTTTTAATGATAACTTTACTGGAGTATAATTCAGATACCATACAGTTCACCTATTTAAACTGTACAGCTCAGTGGTTTTTGGGATATTCACACACTTGTGCATCCGTCACCACCATCAGTTCTAGAACATTTCAAAACCAAAAACCAAATCCAACCTACTGCCACTGAGTTGATTCTGACTCACAGTGCCCCTAGAGGACAGAGTGGAACTGCCTCACAAGGATTCCAAGACTGTCAATCTTTACAGAAGCAGACTGCCTCTTCTTTCTCCCAGGGAGCAGCTGGTGGTTTCAAACCACTGACCTTCTGGTTAGCAGCCAAGTGCCTAATCATTGTGCCACCAGAGCTCCTTACCATAAGACCCAGCACTGCCACTCCTAGGCATATACCCAAGAGAACTGGAAAGTTCTGTCCACAAGCAAGTAGACCTGTCCATAGCCCTGGTGGTACAGTGGTTACAGTGCTCAGCTGCTAACCAAAAGTCAGTGGTTTGAACCTAACAACCTCTCTGTGGGAGAAAGATGTAGTGATCTGCTTCTGTAAAGACTGACAGCCTTGGAAACCCTGTGGGGCAGTTCCACTCTGTCCTCTAGGGGCGCTGTGGGTCAGAATCAACTCCACAGCAGTGGGTGTGGTTTGGGCTTTGCTTCTGTGAAGACTGACAGCCTTGGAAACCCTGTGGGGCAGTTCCACTCTGTCCTCTAGGGGCGCTGTGGGTCAGAATCAACTCCATGGCAGTGGGTGTGGTTTGGGCTTTGCTTCCGTAAAGACTGACAGCCTGGGAACCCTTACGGGACAGTTCCACTCTGTCCTCTACAGGCACTAGGTCACTATGTGTCAGAATCATCTTGATGGCACTGGATGTTTTTTTGGCTGGAAACTCCATTTAACCTCTTGAGGACCTGCATTCTGTTTTCCAGAGCAGCTGTACCGTTTTACATTCTCACCAGCAGTGTGTGAGAGGTCTAATTACTCCACAGCCTAGCCAACACTTGGGACTGTCTGATGACCTCAATACTGCAGCCATCCTAGCAGGTGTCTGAGTCAGAATCAACTGGATGGTAATGCTTTGGGATTTGGTTTCCGTGGATGTGAGGTAGTATCTCATTGTGGTTTCTGGTGGCATTTGTCTGAGAACCTAAAATGCTGGGCAATCCGTCAGGTTCGAGCTGGTGGACTGCAGCCAGCAGTTTCTGTAAATGAAGCTTGTGGGCACACAGCCAGACCTACATGCGTGGGGACGTCCAGGGCTGCTTCCACATGACAACGACAGAGGTGAGGGGTTGCATCAGAGACTGTATGGCTCACAAGCCCAAAACATTTACTGTCTGTCCCTTTAAGAAAAGTCTGCTGACACCCAGTTTAGGTGGAAGGCAGGCAGCTTCTGTCTTTGGGTGAGGAAGGGACAGGTGTTTGGACTAGGCAAGGAAAACGCAGCTGGCTGGTGGGCCCCGCCTGTCACAGCCCAGTACTATTCCTGTGTGACACCGGCATGGAAAAGCCAGGGCTCTGGGGTGTAAAGCCTCGTGGGAGCTGCAGAGGCCACACGGTCAGGGAGGAGCTAAGTGAGCAATCCAGGGGGCGTGGGAAAACTTCAAGTGCGAGAAAGGTCCCAGCATCAAACGGAAGCAGAGGACCCTTCATTTGAAAGCTGGGTTCTTAGGTTCTTAGGAGGCAGGTCCTAGTCCCGCACAACACTACGGTGCCCCTCCACTGCTGACCCTGCCTGGCCAGTGCGGGGCGGCTGGGCTCGTCATCCCCTATGAGTCGTCCTACGTGCAGTGCCCACTGCTGGCACCTAAGGCCTGGCTCCAGGGATCTGAGGCCCTCTTGTCTTTGCTGTAATTTTGAGCATGGTCTCTTTTCTTAGGCCCCAGGCCTTGCTATCCAGGGCTTGGTGTTCATGAGTCCGATTTTGCACCCTCTTTCACTTCTAGGGGAAAATAAAAGGGTACAGGGGTTATGTTTCTGAACTTGCTGCACACGCCGGTCCTGGTGGGAACCAAGGAGGGCAAGAGCCCACCATGAGCCCCAACACTGTCTTTTCTGACACCTTCCTTCCCACACACCCCATCAACCAATCAGAGGAAAAGCACCCCAGTTTCTTACTCCATCTGCAGAGATGCCATGGGCTTGCTATCAGTCCAGGTGAAGCGCTTCAGCATGGGGGAGATGAGCATGGTGCCACCGTCCACCTGGTAATCCTGGAGGGAGAGAAGGAAGATGTGTTACACTTCCTGCCTGGCTTGCCCACCCACCATTTATTACCTGAGTTGATTCTGACCCACAGCGCCCCTAGAGGACAGAGTGGAACTGCCCCACAGGGTTTCCAAGGCTGTCAATCTTCACAGAAGCAAAGCCCAAACCACACCCACTGCCATGAAGTCCATTCTGACTCACAGCGCCCCTAGAGGACAGAGTGGAACT